CCTCATCCTGCTTCAGTAATTATCTCCCCATTGCTAGTTTGGTTTTATCCCTATGTACTCACTTACCCACCTCCAGGATTGCATGTGTGTATATATATAGACACGTGATGCACATACACATGTGTTTCATACATTTGTAGGTTAAAGATCAACTTTGGGTATCGTTCCTCAGGAACTGTCTACTCCTCCTTTCCCCTGAGGCCTGTCAGTTACCTAGGCTGGCTTTCTCTACTACCTCCGTGCTTGGATAGTAAGTACGTGCCACCATCTCTGTACCAGGCTTTTCCTTCTAGGCCACCAACCAGCTCCCAAATCATGACACAGACTTCTTATTAGCTTTGAATGCTAGGCCTAGCTTTCAGTTCTGGCTAGCTTTTTTGTTTGTTTGTTGTTTTGAGACAGAGTTTCTCTGTATTTCTCTGGAAGTTGTCCTGGAACTCAGCTCTGTAGACCAGGCTGGCCTCGAACTCACAGAGATCCACCTGCCTCTGCCTCCTGAGTGCTAGGATTAAAGGCGTGTGCCACCAACGCCTGGTTCTGGCTAGCTTTTTTAACTAAATTAACCTGTTTCTCTTTATCTACCCTTTGCATCAGGGCTTTTTACTATTTTTTTTTCCCTGCAGTATATCTTTCATTGCTTCTTGTGTCTAACTAGTTGGCAGCTGCTTGGCTTCTTGCCCCAGGAATGTGTGTCCTCCCCCCCCATTCCTTCTTCTCTCATTCCTCTCTTAGTCTAGATTTCTCTTCCTATTTATTCTCTCTGCCTGCCAGCCCCACCTGTCCTTTCTCTGCCTAGCTATTGGCCATTGAGCTCTTTATTAGACCAATCATGTGCCTCAGGCAGGCCAGGCAAAACAAATGCAACACATCTTTATACCATTAAACAAATTCATCATAAACAAAAGTAACCCATCTTTTCATCCTTTAAGGAAGGCAGCAGAAACATGTGTGACACACCTTTACATAGTTGAGTAATACTCTGCAGCAGAAACAAATGTAACACATCTTTGCCTAGTTAAAATAATATTCTACAGCATGCCTAGCTTGTACTGTGGGCTGTGCAGATTGAACTCTGACCCTTATGCATATGCTCTGGGATTATTTTTAAAGTGAAACCTAGACATTATGTCATTTCAATGGTGACTACTTCAGAATGTTCTATTTAAACATCTCTAAAATATGTTTGTAAAATACAAGACCTTTTTAAAAAGATATGTTTATTTTTTTAAATTGTGTGTATATGCGTATGTCTGTGTGTGGTTATGTGCACATGTGATATGCGTGTGTCTGTGTGTGGTTATGTGCACATGTGATATGCGTGTGTCTGTGTGTGGTTATGTGCACATGTGATATGCGTGTGTCTGTGTGTGGTTATGTGCACATATGACTATGTGTACCATGGAGTCCAGAAGAGAGTGTTGGATCTGCTGCAGTTACAGGTGATTGTAAGTGCCCAGTTTGGGTGCTGGGAACGGAATTCAAAGCCTCAGAAAAGCAATATGTGTTCTTAACCCCTGAGCCATCTCTCTACACCCAGGACTGTTTTTAAAAAGGGCTACAATGCAGTTATCACTCCTGCCAAATTAGAAACAATTCCTCAGTCCAATCAAATATCCAGACTATCTGGCTCAGGGTCTGAATGTAAGCCATGCCTTGTAACTAGTACATGCTTCCCTGAACTATTTTAATAATGTTAATGAAACGTTTTAAACTATTTTATTTTTCTCTTGTTGTTTCTTTGTTAAACAGGATTGTTTGCTCTGTAGTTTCTCCTCAGCTAGTTCTTGCAGTGTGTATCCCCGTAAGTTGTTGAGCATACTCTCTGACCTAGATACTTTTTGTAAATTGGTTAGATTTAGTGGCTTACTTAGAATCAGGTTTGTTATTTTTGGCATAATATGTTCTAATGACTGTCCCTTTGTTTTTTATCTACTGCCACCAAACTGTCCTCCCACAGTTGAGTGATTGTTATTTAGAGGACGGTTTTCCTGGATGTTTAAATATAGGAAGTATCTACACACCTAATTGTTCCAAGGGGACTTTCAAAAATGATTGTATTAGTGCTCCCACAATAAATTAGCACACACGTAGTGACTTAAAACTCACATTACTACAGTTTAAAGGTCAGAAGTTCAGCTTGGGTCTCCAGGGGCTCAGATCAAGGTGTCAGCTGGCCACATTCCTTTCTGAAGACTCTAGGGCAGAATCTGTTCCCTTGCCTTATCTGGCTGCTAGAAGGTCCCCGTTTTCCTTGGCTCATAGTTCCATCTTCAAAGCCAGCAACTGCATCTCTTAAACCCATTGTCATGTCTCCCACTGACAGCATCTGGGCAACCTCTGTTTCTCAGAACTAATAGAAATGTGTTGGGTCCACCCAGATTTTCCAGGCTCATCTCCTATCTCATTCCTTCATCTTCACCACATCTACAAAGTTGCCTTTTCACAGAAAGTAACATAGTCACAGGTTCCATTTGGACAGATTGGCTGTGGTGTGTGTGTGTGTGTGTGTGTGTGTGTGTGTGTGTGTGTGTGTGTGTGTGCATTATTCTTTCTTCCACAGTGATCATGTCTTAAAATCTACACCACTGTAAAGTTGAAGAATGAATCAGTTTGATATGTTGCAAATGACCTATTGTGACATCATTACTAAGGACTCTGAAAGAGTGAGGTAGATTATGGAGAATGAACTGTCACAATGTCACACTTTCGCTGTTTATAAGTAAGTTGTCTGCAGTGAGTCCTGAAGATATTTTTGTTGGAAACAGTCTTTTATTTTGATTATTACTAAGTGGCCAAACCATTGCCTCTTAGAAATGTCAGTTTATAGCTCAGAGAAGCTCAGGTGGTTGACATGATCATTTTGACTTACAGCATCTTCCATGCCTAGGTTGTGGGATGCAAATTTACTGTAACAATATTACATGCTGAGGAGGTATTCTTGTCTCATGGGAATCATAGGAGTAGGGGAGAGTTTCTAGTCTCTTTTCTGTTGTGCATTAGGGAGATCTTTAGGAGACAATACATTTGGAAGAAAAGGTTAGTGAAGTTATTTTTCACTGATAATTTGTGTTCTCACTGAATAAAACAATGTCAGGACTTCAGTGGCTTTTCCTAGTGGTCAACTCCAGTGGCAGTTGCTTTCCATTTTTCAGCCATTTTTCTATCATTTCATAGTGTACTGACCTTCAGTCCATCTATGGATTATTCTTTAGATGCAGTTATTTTTGCTATAGCATAGACATCCTTCAGCAGTGCAAGTTTGATGATAGATTTATCTTGGAGGCCATCCAGGAGGCTGCTACTAAGGACCAAGAGGACCTCATTATAAAGTGATTTTGCTGTAAAATGGTGCCTTGGAATGGTCCCTAGACACGGCAGGCTGTTTATAGTTTTTAAAAACTATGTTTTGTCAAAAAAGTGTCACCAAGGGATCCTTGTCTCACACCTTAGGTTTAAATAAATCCCAGGTGAATCAGAGCTAAGTATGATGATTTAACTCCATACAAAAGATTTACACAAAACTGTACGTAGACATTAGTGAGCTCTTGAGTGAGAAGACCTTTGAGGTTTTACTTTCATAGATAAGCCAGTATGTGAAACAGCCATTTAAAGAACATAAACAAGTGAATCTATGGCTGACATGCCACCAACTGGCAGATGATGCTTGGGTGAAGTGTAGACCTCACCCCACACTCTCTGCTCGGGGCACTAGGAGCAAAGGAACAAGGCTCTTGCAGTGACATTACCAGGATGGACCACTTTGAAGAAACACACATTGAAGGGCAGAGTCTGTCATGCTGAGAAAGTTCCTGTGGTAGGGGCTTGAAGGAACTGGTCACCCACATTTTGCTCATGTGCAGCCAGCTTCCCCCCTTATACAGTCTAGGACCCTAGTCCACTTTTAGGGTGAGTTTTCCCACCTGGTGTCACCTAAACAAGATAATCTCTTCCAGGCCTGGCCAGAGGCATGTCTTCTAGATCCTATCAAATTGATAATATTAAACATTATGCCTGCTACAGAGAAAAAAAAAAAAACAAGGGCTCCAGAAAAAGTTCTAGGGTAGTCAAAAACTCATCCAGAGGCAGTGAGTTTATTCACAGCATGAGGGACGTACTTTAGGGAAGACCCTTATAGATGCATTACTGCTTTGCTGTATGTTTTCATATACACATTTTCTAAACTCAAGTGGAGTGGGTGGATTGAAATCTTGAAGAGGATTCCTGTCAGGGAGTTGAACTTCTGTACTACACAGTGCTCAGGGCTACGCTTCTCACACCGCAGTTAGCCTCGCCCACCCTTACTCTTCTCTGAATTCTTTTTCATATTTACAAATCTGGTAAGTTCCCAAATCTTATTATTGGTTTTTATTTTGTATTTTTAAACTATTAGTGATGCCAGACTGGCAAGATGGCTCACCAAGTAAAGGTGCTTGCAGCCAAAACATGATGACCTGAGTTTGAGTCCTGAGACATATGTGGTAGCAGGAGGGAACCAACATGTGTGTGTGCCTGTGGGTGCACGTGTGCATACACACTCAAATTATAAACAAATGCAAAATTTTTAATTAATGATTCCAATGGGTTTATGTGGTATTTCACTTTCAAAATTCCTTGGTATAGGTTTTGTTTATATTTCTCCATTTTAAAAATCAGAACATTGCCCTGCTGTTGTTGATTTATGCATGTCTGTTTATATTGCATACTAGAGGATAAATATTGCTGTAGGCAAGTTTAATACAATTTGGCTTCATATTTAAATATTTATCAGGATGTCATTTCAGTATGAGGCATGAAGTAAGTATTTAGGTTTTTGTTTCAGTAATGCTAGCCATTGTGTCAATTGTATCATATGTTGAATGGTGTCACTTGCCTGGATAGATGTACCTCTATGTATGTGTGTATGTGTGTATCAATATTTATATATGTTTATATACACATCTATATTATCTTTAAAATGCTTCCCTTTGATTTTTAGTCAGCTGTTTTTCTTTTTCTTGCAGAGCAGGACGCAGGCCTGGATGCCCTTTCCTCCATCATTAGTCGCCAAAAACAAATGGGCCAGGAAATCGGGAATGAACTGGATGAACAGAATGGTAAGGACAAGTCTGAGACTGATCAGCTTGCCCCTGGTGTAAATCCCACAGGTTCAAGTGTTTGTTGAATCACTTTCGATTATGCAACATAGAGGGGCTTGGCAGTCAGCAGACTATAGTGGTTTATTGCAGTTGTGTTTATCACAGTTGTGGTGGTTTGTAGACAGTTTACAGTTACCAAGAATTGTGTAAAGAAATGTCACTCAATATTTTCCAGTACTCAGTGACTGCTTTAATTGAATTAATTTTGGTTTTGATAGCCCTGGTGGCCTTGAACTCTATGCAGATCAGACTAGCTTTGAATGTGTATTGCTCTCTTCTCCATCTGCATCCCTAGTGCTGGAATTGCAGTCATGTGCTGACCCTTCTATTTTGAGAAATCCTTTATGATCTATTTATTCCAACAGCTTTTCTTCTCTGTGGAGGATGTGGAGTTGCTCAGTGTTTGGTACCTAGATACAAAGCATAATAAAGCTGTGTGGGCCTCATATCATCTCTGTACCCAGTGGGGTTTGTTTGTCTTCCATTATCAATGACCAAGCCACAGGACAAAAAAGTTTGAAGATGTCTGTTTAGGGCTTGATGTGACAATGTGGTTTGAAAAACAGGAACTTGTAGGCTTCTGTGGTCTGTAACCTTAGGACTTGGATGTAGGGGTTAAGAACCTGAACAAGAGTAACCAGGGGAATGGAGCATGGGATGGATGCAGGAACACAGCAAAATCCAAAGTTCTATGAGTCAAGACTGAGTCCAAATTAGATACATCTGACCAGAGATGCAGTGAGAGGTCCAAATGGAAACATTCAGTCTGCAGTTGGTGCAGTCACGGCTTAGTGAGAAGACAAGACGAGAAGTGGGAGAAGCTTCCGCAGGGATGTGCTGCACTGGCATTTACAGTGGCTCTCATTACATGTGGAGCACTCTTGTCCATCAGACCATGTACTCGACATAAGGAAAGGAAGATAACGATGTCCTCATTGCTAGAAATAAAGCTCAGCGTTGCAGAGAGCCCTCTGCATGCCACAGGTTTTATAAAAGGCAGGACTGAAACTGTATTCTGATATGGCTGCCAAGGAAGACAGGGTAAGGAGGCAAACATGCTGTTAAAGTATCATGTGTGGGTCGGTATGGATGTCCTGGTAGTGGACAGAGTCGCTGTCTGCAGGGAGGCTGCACTTGACTTGCCAAAACCATACAACAGGCACTTCCCTCCTTGATCCCGAGAAGGAATGTGGTCATTGTTCCCATGGTTTCAGTCCATTTCTCTATCATAAGTAAACAAATCCAGCTGTTGAGCATCTGTCTCACGCAAATCGACTTGTAAGCAAATGGAGAGCCCTCTCTCTCTACATGTAGTCCTAATGTGGCTTGCGACAGCTTAGCACTGGGGGGACAGTTTGTTCCTTCTGCTGGTGCTGTGAATAGGCCAATTATGGACCTGCGTTTGATCCAGGCATTTGGTCAGTTCCTTCAGTTCAAGACAGCATTATTAGTAAGATAATAAGCTTTATTTTTAAAAGACAACCTTGGCTATCTGGTGTTTGTTTACTTTTTATCTCAAGGAAATGTGCCCGGCTGGGGGTGGGGAGGAGGGTGTCCTGACCTAAGCTGAGGAACACGCGTGTCACCCTGTGGTGTGTACAGACCACAGCATCCGTGGGGATGTGACTAAGAATGAAGGATGTATGGTTTTGTGTGGGACTCGCTATCTTCTCAGGTCAAATGGCCACGCGTTTGCCAGCACAAGCAAGCGTACCAACATGCTTTCCACTTGAGTCGCTAGTGCTTTATGGCCCCCAAGGTCTAGGCTGTGTCTTGGTGAGCTCGATTCCTGTTATGATAGGATCACAAAAGTAGCGGCTTAAAACAACACAGACTTAGTGTCTTACTTTCGGTAGCACTGGAGTCTGATTTGAGTCTTGCTGGGTGAAAACCAATGTATCAACAAGAGATCAGCATTCTTTTCTGAAGACTCTAGGGAGGGATTGGTTTCCTTGCCTTTTCCAGCTTCTAGTGGCCACCCACATTCCTTGGCTTACATCCCTTCTGTGTTCAAAGCCAACAACAATAGGCGTCCTGCTGATACTGTACCACTCCAACTACTAATGCTACTAATGTTCCCCTCCACCTTTGGAGACCCTCATGTTTATATTGCATGCGCCCAGACAGTTGGAGAAACTCGCCCTGTGATCAGCCTATTGGAAGGTTCAGTGTCCCCTGCAGCCTCGACGAGCCGTTCACTGTCTACCACAGGACTTCGCTAGGAAGTCTGAGCGTCAGGCCTGGAGAGCAGACTGATTTCGGCATGCTGCCATGCCTGTGACGACGGTCCTGAGAGGATGTAGTTAGTACTGTGCTTTCACACCGCCTCTCGTGTGCTCACGTGACACATGTGCAGAACCTTCCCAGTTACATGTGTCACATAGCACTTATGGTGGCTTGCCGAGTTCTTTTCTCTCTGCATCACATAGCTTACTCCCACTTTGTATCCCCCCCACCCATCTCCATCCCACAGCTAGATCTAGACAAACTTGGGGTACTTTTCCATGAACTGCCAGCATAAGCTAGTTTTCTCTGTGGTGGCCTCCCAGGAAGCCAGCAGTTACTTACATGAGTGGTTTTCTGATGTGTGTTTTCTCCTCAGAGATAGGGCAGACTCAGCCATTTTCTCTCACAAGAATCAACACTCTCAGAATAAAAACAAAACCAAACCCATCCCTGAAGCAAGGCTGGTGGTATCTCCAGGTGGATCAGGCCTGAAGCCCACCTGGATCTTTACTGTGACTCATGTGTGTCACAGGCATCAGGGCAGAGGATACCTTTGCTGTAAATATCTCCATATGATTTATGGAGCTACAGAGTTGTTGCTTTTATTTTCTTTAGAGAAGCAATCAGCTAGATAATGACCAGCCAGACCATTTTGGAAGGAAGGGTCAAACCTTATTAATAAATGTGTTGTACTTAGAACATAACCACAGGATCAAAGAGTCAGATTGTCTTCAATTTAGGAATTCAGATTTCATTCTTACCGTAGGGAAGAGCATCTGGCCAATTACTTGTTCATGTGCAATGACCAGGAACAAAAAAGGAAAGAGCAGCAGTGAAGGGGAAATCCCTGTGATGGGAGCCTACATGTCACTGGTTTGTTATGTGCAGGGAATGGGAGAGCAGGGTGGCAGGGAAGGTCACTTGTCTTCCTAACATCAATTCCGGGGCAATGAAACCAGTGAGTCCTTCAGAGAGCTAGAAATATGACTGCTTATTGAATGGCATGGTGTGCTCTAAACTCCTCGTACACTGCCAGGCGCACGCCTTTAACCCCAGCACTCAGGAGGCAGGTGCAGGTGGATCTTGAGTACCAGCCCAGCCTGGTCTACAAAGTAAGTTCCAGGACAGCCATAGCACACAGAGAAACCAAATCAACAACAAACAAACAAACAAAAGAACGTCACATACACATCAGTGGGTCACCACTTACTGATTTGTTGGAAATTCTAGCTGAATTTTCATTGTGAAAAGTGAGAACAAAATTGTGTATTTACCTCTCTGAAACTTGGCACCACAGGCACATCTCTTGTCTGTAGGGACAAGAGGAACTTTAAAGGTATGTCAAGTTGAGTCATTTGGGACAAGAAGGGTATCTGTGACTATGCAGGTAGACCCTAAATGTAATTAGAGGTATTCACCTTAAAGAGACACAGGGGCTGTATGTGTAGCTCCATGGCCAAGCACCCGCCAGGCAGGTGCTAGGCCTTAAATTTCATGTCTAGCACCACCAAAGGAAAAGAGAGGTTGCAGGTGAGAGGCAGCGGGAGATTTGACAGAGAAGAATTAGGCAATGAGATGCCTGAGACAAGATGGTATCCTCTACCTCTGAAGATCGGGGAAGGGACCACAAAGAAGGGGTACAAAGGCTCTGCAAGCGGGGAAAGGCAGAAAATGGTTTCCCCTCAAATCTCTGGAGGAGCATGTTGGCCTCAAAGCCAGTGAAACTGTTAGCCTCTGTCTCTGCAGTGGAACAACAACAGTGAATTTGAGTAATTACTGTGTCTTTTTGTCAGTTGCCACATTCTTCAGATTAGCCACGTTTACACTAAAATGTTTGAGTTACCCATAAGTCTGTACTGTCTTACCCTTTGAGACACTTTCTTTCTTTAAAACAAAACTTTCTTTTTAGATATTTTATGTGTGTGAGTGTTTTGCCTGTGTGTATGTATGTGCACCACATGTGTGCCTGGAGCCCACATAAAGTGGTGTCAGATTCACGGGACCTGGAGTTGAGGATGGTTGTGGGCCACCATATGGGTGCTGGGAACTGAACCTGGGGCCTCTGCAGTAGTAGCCAGTGCTCTTAACTCCTGAGCCATCCTTCCAACCCCTCGGGGTGATTTCTTTAAGCTTTACTGAAGGAATTGCTCTAGTCACCTATACCTGAAGTCCTAA